ATATAAACTGTTATCATAATCACATGTCAAAATTTCTTTTGTGAATGAAATAAAATGGTTTCAATCAGTTTTTAATAACCAACAATCAAATGTAGAGCTTGGGGTACATTTAAACATGGCTTAGATCAATTCCCCAGATGTTCAGTGTCCAGGGGTTCAGCGCCTGGCACCCAGAAACTCATGGCAAAGGGGAGTCTGGCACCAAGAAACTCATAACATTTCACTTCCTTGCAACCTAAGGAAAGCTGTTGATTGGCAGAAGACACTGGGCAGAAACAGAAAGAAACAGGGGGATGAGGAGGTCTAAGGGTGAAGTCCTGCTCCTGTCCATCCTAATACTGGACAGATTATTACAGGATGTTGAGAAGGGTCATTTTTTACTATTAATTGAGAAACAGCAGCCATAGTCTAGGCCAGGAGTGTTTTTCCTTGGTGACACCGCCATGTTGAAAAGTGTGTGTTTGCAAGGTGTTTCCTGTCCTGTCCAGAAATGCACCGTGCTGGATGAAGCCAGCTCTAGATCTTTCCGAAATAAATAAAATAAAAACCCACTGGAAGATATATTTGAAAAATTAATGTTAAGGGGAACAATTCACATTGTTAAGCAAGGTAGCTAAAGCAACACGGTCAGGGCCTCCATTGCGACACGTCCCCCTGCTGAGTGACTTGGCGGAGGACTTTGGGAAGAGCAATTATTTGAGGATAGTTCAGGAGAAAGGAGGTGGCTTGTGAGAAGTAATGATGTTTTCCGGCAAAATGAAGATTTCTTCTTCTTGAGTGTAAGTAGGATGTCTAATTCATTCTGCATTCTGCTTCTTATGCTCTCCCTCAAGATTTAGAAACATAGGGCAGTAAGGCAGATCTGGAAAAAGCCTAAGTAAAGGTACAGGTACCCCTGACCGTTAGGTCCAGTCGCGGACGACTCTCGCTCTATAGGCTGAGGGAGCCGGTGTACAGCTTCCGGGTCATGTGGCCAGGATGACTAGGCCGCTTGTGGCGAAACCAGAGCAGTGCACGGAAAGGCTGTTTACCTTCCCGCCATAGCTGTCAAGTGTCCCTTATTTGAAGGGACAGTCCCTTATTCCAGCGCCATGTCCCGCTGCTGTCCCTTATTGATGGATGTCCCTTAAATGTCCCTTAAATGATGTCCCTTAAATTTCAAAGGAAGCAGCTCCTCTCCCTCCCTCCCTGCCGGCCAGGGAGGAGGGAGGCTCTAACTGTGTTGCTTGGCTGTGTTGCTCACCCAATCAGAAGTCTAAGAACGAATGGGGGGTGGAGCTTGCATGCCTTGTGTGTGGCTAGTTAATGCAAGCTGAGAGGTTTTTTGAATGCTGAATGCCATTTTGTTGCACGTGCTGCTGCAAACTTTGCAGTGCAAAGCCAGGCCGGGGAGCCATCTTAAGTTGAGGCTGCATAGGCCTTGTGGTGCATGTGATTCAGATTCTATTCAGTTGAACCTCTGGTTACAAAGTTGGTTGGACAGTGTTCTCGAAGCTACCAGCATGAGTTTGACCAGACTGTGGGAGGACAGGAAGACTGGAGTGCCTGGAACAGGTGAGGCTGCAGGTCCCTTATTTTCAAATCTGTAAGTTGACAGCTATGCTTCCCGCCAGAACGGCACCTACCGTATTTTTCGCTCTATAGGACACACCGGATCATAAGACGCACCGGACAATAGGAGGGGGAGAACAGGGGGAAAAAAATTCTCCCCCTCTCTGCTCAGCGTCCCTTCAGCGAAGCGGCAGGAGAAACGGAGCCCATTCCATTTCTCCTCCCACTTCGCTGAAGGGGTGCTGCGTAGAGAGGGAAAACTGTGCAGCGCCTCTCCAGCGAAGCGTAGCCTGGAGAGCAAGAGGGATCGGTGTGCACTGACCCCTCTCACTCTCCAGGCTTCAGGCGGCTATCCGCAAGCCTTCGGAGCGGGAGTTCCCACTGCGCTCCGAAAGCTTGCAGATAGCTGCCTGAAGCCAACTGAGTGCAGCCTTTGAAGCCTCCACAAAACAGCGGGGTGAAGGCACCCCGCTGCCCTGTGGAGGCTTTGCGCAGCTAACCGCAAGCTAGAACAGCGAGACGGAGCGCTGCACAACGCTACTTCTCCCTGTTCTGGCTTTGGGCTTAGCTGCGCAGCCTGCATTCACGCCATAGGACGCACACACATTTCCCCTTAATTTTTTTTTTTATAAAATAATTTTTATTAGCAAACCAATCAAATCACATTAATTCCAAATTACAAAACCGAATTTTAAATTTTTGTTGGGGGTACCCATGCTTCGAGCTCAGAAAAGGATCCAATCATCTCTTATTTCTGCTGCTTTGATCATTTCCCCTTAATTTTTGGAGGGGAAAGATTGCGTCCTATAGAGCGAAAAATACGGTATTTATCTACTTCCACTTTGTGCTTTCGAACTGCTAGGTTGGCAGGAGCTGGCTCTGTGGCCACCCGTGTCCCTACGGAAAAAGCCGATCGCAGACCAAATCCCCCTCCCAAACCTGGTATGTAAGGGCTTCCGGTTTTTCCGCCCTCCGTTGTGGATGTGCTTCGCGGGTTCTCCGCGCCTAGCAGCTGTTAGAGGGAACTTTGGGGGGCAACGCGGAGGCTACACGACCCCACAAAAAGGCTCTGGGCGTGGCCCAGGGCTGACATTGTCCGGCAGCGTCAAAAAAGGAACCCTTCGAAGCCCACATCCTAGAGAGTACCTAGACGCAAGGACACGAGCAATCCTCAGCAGCAAGCCTCAAAGTCCCAAACGGTAAGAACGGCAGCAAAACCTCTCACTTTCTCAATCCCCTTAATTACTGGACTAAGCTAACAAGGAGAGCTTGAGGAGAAGAGGGTCTGTGAGACTTATTTATACAAAGTGAACTGCTCAGAAACAGACCCAGAAGACTAGCACATAAAGAGTAAAGAACGGGAGATTTTATCTTAAATATATTGGAAATCTTTCGAAGATTTCTCTAACAAGTACCAGTAAGAAAAGGAAGACAGATTCAAATTTCACTCTGCAGCAGCAGTACTAGCCCATTAAAAGAAGCGGAATTCATGGACTTAACTTGTTTTTCACTTTGAAGTGGCGTGAGCCCAGCGAAAGAGACTGAGTTAAAAGACTTGGATTGTCAGCGCTGTTTGTGGTAAAAGAGTGGAAGTTACTGGAAAACAAAGGTAAAAGAGAAGGCAACACTTTTAATATTGAACTTATATTAAACACTAACCTATAAAGATGGCGTAGCGTGGTCTGGGAGAAATGGCTGGACTAATTGGAGAATCAAGAAAAGAAAAGCGCCGAAAGGAGGGGCAGAACTGGACAAAAGAGGAGAGGAACTATAAAATGAAAGATGAGCATATTTAGTTTGAGGAGGTAGTTTGTGGGAAAGGAAATATGTTTTCTGGTGTAATGAAGAGACTTTTTTTCATATAAAGTGTAAGTAGGATTCCTAATTCCTTCTGCATTCTGTTTCTTTTAGTATCCCTCAAGATTCAGAAACGTAGGGAACCATGTCATGGTTAGATTAGTTTATAAAGACTGGCTGCGTGAGCTGCTGGTCTCCTGCTGTCACGTGCCAAAGATCCATCCCCTGCTCCGTGAGGAGGAGGAGGAAGAGATATTGGAAGAGAAATGGGAGGATGAAGTGATGGTTATGAAGATCAGAAGGAATCTTTAGTGAAGGTGAAAACAATTTATGTAAGACCAAGCGACCAGGGGATGGATGCCACCGATGCCAATCTAGATGGTGAGAGATGGTGATCTTTGTTCTTGAGGAACAAGGGAGGCCAGAGAGAATCTGGATCACTGGGATGTGGGGAGGCAGCTCCCTGATTCAAGAAGAGTTCAGGGATGGGATGAGGAAGGGAGAATAACGCAAGCCACCTGGAGATCCTTGCAGGAAAGATGGGTCATCAATGTAATAATCAATGAAAAAATTAAGAATTTTTTCTCTTCATTTCTCTTCCAGGCAGCGATAGCAGTGAGGCCAGCAGCTCCAGTACAGCTCTACCCCACTCCAAGACCCAGTTCTCCCTTCGCCCCAAACCCAAGTATCTAAATAAATAAATAATAGGGATGTGGGTGGCGCTGTGGGTTAAACCACAGAGCCTAGGACTTGCCTATCGGAAGGTTGGCGGTTCGAATCCCCACGACGGAGTGAACTCCTGTTGCTCGGTCCCTGCTCCTGCCAACCTAGCAGTTCGAAAGCATGTCAAAGTGCAAGTAGATAAATAGGTAATGCGGGAAGGTAAATGGCGTTTCCGTGCGCTGCTCTGGTTCAGAAGCAGCTTAGTCATGCTGGCCACATGACCCCGGAAGCTGTACATGACCGGTCTGCCAATAAAGCGAGATGAGTGCCGCAACCCCAGAGTCGGCCACGACTGGACCTAATGGTCAGGGTCCCTTTACCTTTATATATTTCAAAAACACTATGAGTCTCCAGTGTGGTCTCTCGTCACAAGGAAACAGATTTTATAAAGAGGCAACCTTTCAAACTTCTTATAAATGGAAACTGGGGAAAGCTCCCTCCAAAAGAATAGACTGTGCCCAGTGACTAGCTGATCCACATGCCTGTTCAGTTGACGCTCTAGATGCCTACTCAGTTGTTCTCAAAGGCTGTGGAAAGAGAGAATGGCCAGTGTGGCAGGCTGGGCGAGCTGCTGGCCTCCTGCTGTCGTGCCCCTAAAATCCACCCCCTGGTCTGCGAGGAGGAGGAGGAAGAGATATTGGAAGAGAAATGGAATGAGGAAGTAAATATAATTAAAGAAAGGGAGAATAGCGTAAGCCACCTGGAGATCCTTGAAGGAAAGATGGGTTGTCAACATAATAATAAATGGAAAGATTCAAAATCTTTTCTCTTCTTTTCTCTTCCGGGCAGCAACAGCAGTGAGGCCAGCAGCTCCAGCACAGATCTCCCTCCCCACCAAGACCCAGTCCCCCCCTTCCCCACAAACCCAAATAGAAAAATAAAATAAAAATCATTATTATTATTCTAATCAAGTTCCTTTACAAACATGCTATTCTGTGATCATCCTTTTATCCTAGGCGGTGCTTTTTCCTACGTTTGTGAGCATGAGTGGAAATCCTGAGTCTCGCTGCAGGAGTCGACAGTTTGGCTCCTTCCCTTGTTGTTGCTCCTAGATGGAACTGTGCATGTGCGAAGGCAAGACAGAGACTTCCAAACTGGATCAATAAACGTGTCACCCATTGTCTGAAAACCACTGTCCTAATCACATGCCAGATTGTCTTTTGTGAATGAAATAAAATTCTTTCAAATAGTTTTTTTATGTTGGCATTTGTCTGTCTTGAGAAGCAATGGAGTGCGCCTCCGGGGGTGAGGTCAAAAGTCAAGCAACGGTGTCAGCAGTCCCAAAATGACCTCTCCAGGGAGCAAGACTGGGCAGTGTGTCTGGAGGTCCTGGGCTTCCCAGATGACAAGACTCCCTCTCTTGGCCTTGCAGATGTGTCTCCAAGGAAAGCAGAGTTAGGCACCAGTTGGCTACAGGAGTTGTCAGAAGGGGTTGTAAACGGCGCCATCCAACCGCCTGAGGGACTCCACTCCAGATTTGTGTAGGGTTTTCTCCTTAGCCTTTTCAGCTCCCAAAGATATCCCACAAGGCAAATTAGGATCAGAGTTTTCTTTCTCCTCGATGGGCTACCTTTATAGGTGGATGAGCCCCATCTTCCCCTCACTTCCCTCCACAGCATTGCAGAAACCACCTTCTTGACCACTGGGCCCACGCTTGGTCTTGTCCGCTCAATCTGCTGGAGCCTGTCTTTGCACACTGGGGAAGTTCCTGTGCATTTGAGACTCCTTGGTTGCCCTCACCTGGTTTAGGTGGCCAGTCAAAGCCGTTCCCAGGATGTGGCCTCTGTCGCATGCTGACCGTTTCTAGGAGCAAGAGAACAAACTTTTTATTATGGTTTAATGGTTTAATGACTAGTTACAAACTGTAAACAGATAAGAACATTGGCAGGATTATTGGAATAACCTGCAGTTTAATAAGATTATATATTTAAAGCAGATGCATAAATGAAGAAATTAAGGTAATTTGGATATGCATAAGATATGAAGAACCAATTTAAGGAACTGCAGAAAGAGGGGGAAGGAAGTCAAGTTTTGAAATGTTAAAATGACTGCAAAATTATTGAAACGTATAAACTTGAAAATCATAATTTTTTTTTTAAAAAAAATTCGCCAAAAATCAGACGTCATCCATTTCACTCCTAACTGGAGCCAAAGGACACAGGCCTGGCCAGGACAGCTTTCCAGTTACAGCTTCTGCGGTGATGAGGCATGTGATTCCTGCATCTACTCTAGCTGAGGAATCAACACACCTCCTCCCCAAGCTAGCGAGCCCCACCTGGGCTGTGGGTCCTTGCCTTCCGTCCCTCCCAACTGACAGTTGTTAGTTCTGGAATCCTGAGCTTGAGGGGGGGGGGTACATCCCATTTCGCCCCGTGGGACACTCACCACCCCTTAGCCACCTGCCTTTGGCGCTGCAGCAGTGATGGCTTTGGTCCCTGAAAGAGCATGCAAGATCTCTCCCAAATCTCAATACATATTTTGCTCTCCTAGACATCTTGCAAGACTTCAATGAGATCTCACAAGATCTCGCAGGAAATCTCCACTCTGCTTACCTGCAAGCACACACCTTTAACTTGTTTTTCTTATTTAATACAAATTTCTCAATCTAACAGATTTGCACATAGGATTCTGTATCACATGAAATGGCACATTTGTTTTGTTCTATTGTTACATTATTTGTGGCCTTCTAACACTTTGGGAGAAGCCTTCTCTCCCTTTTCCCTTTAAAAATGAGGATCTGTGCTTTACACTCAGCAGGAAGGTCCATTTAAAAGGAAACATGTCGTTGTTTTGCTGCTGCTTTTCTGTGTTCTCAGGTGTCCAAGTTAGCCTCCTGGCCCTGCTCCTCCAATATACCACAGCAACACTCCCCACTAGGAATCCCTGCTTGGGCTTTCATTGGCCATCAGCAATATCCGGTGGAGCCAGGTGGAGAGCAATGCCCCATCTTGCCCATCTTTGGGGTTTCAAGAGGTATAGCCTCTGTGCATGCACAGAATTAATGATTCAGCAAATCTATTAGACCATTGAAAGAGTGGAAGGGACATGGAAGAGACTTAAGAGCCTCGGACATAAGATTACCAGGTTGATGGACTAGATGGAATGGACAGTAAGGACTGACATGACCCGAGACCAGGAAGAAGAGACGTTGGATGAAGACTGGAAGAAAATTTATAAAGAAAAATTTTTATTTAGGGAATTAGCCTAAAATTAATGAATATTAGGGGAAATGTTGGAATGAAACTATATGGCTTTAGTAGAAATGATATAAGGAGTTATGTATAATTGAGTATTAAGTTTCAAGCTCTAAGGTATTTTACGGTAAGATAAGGTTAAATAAATTAAGGCAATTTGAATAACAGAATATGGGGAAAGATGGAAAGGATTTGTTGAGTTAATTAATAGGTTAAATTGTTAAGATAAGTTATTCAATAAAAATTGAGAAAGATGGAAAGAATTTGCTGAAATAACTAATTAAACTAGAATACAAAAAGGGAGGTGTGAGGAGGTCAATGAAACAAGCAAATGGAAGTTAAAGATATGTAATATGGGATTTGTGTCTTTTTTTTCTTTTTCTCTTTTTTCTCTTTTTGCTGTATTGTTGTATCGGTTTTTATGCTTTGTTTTTTTTCTTCTTTTTATGTATTATAGTGTTGTTTCCTATTTTTTCTTTTTTTTTGTAATTCTGAAACTTTTAATAAATATTATTTTAAAAAAAGAAAAAAAGAAAGAGTTCTTTCCTCTGATTAAATTACCAAAGGAAGAAAGCAGGACTGGCTTTTCTCACCAGGGACACAAGGAAGGGGAAGGTGTATGCTTAAGAAATCAAATTCCCCAAGGGCTGAAACTCTGTTCAGCCAATTAAAAAACCCAAATTCTCTCAGGAGAGTGCTTCATATCCGGCAGGCAGGGCTTGTGTGCTTTGCTCATGATCCCTTGGGTGTTCTGAGGCTGTTAGAGCAGCAGCCGTAAGTCTTGGGAGTGAGACATTGTCCTCAGAAGGCAAAGAGTAACTGAGGTTCCCTTTTCTCTCCCTTGGAGGCCCTGAACAAGGAGCTGGCCAGTTCAGGGCCTCCATGGGAGAGAAAAGGGGGGCCAGAACTTGTGCTCAAATGAGCTTTCATACACGGTCATCCTGCCCCAAACTCACATTCCAAAATATCTGCATGCCCACCTATCCAAGAGGTGGATGGTCTTGGGCTGGGGGTCCCAGAAGACAGAATAAGTTGAGAAGCAAAGCCCAAGAAGTTTGAGACATCCTCTTCGCATCCACCCAAACCCAATCTAAACAGCTTTGCTCCAGAACCAGCCCCTCCCTTCAGTTCTGTTCAGTTAAGAATGTCAGTTAAGAGGGACCACCTGTATTTTCTTGATTCTTGCCTGAGGTCATAATGGGCATGCACACTGGTATCTGTTTACCTGTAAGCACACACCTTTAGTTTATCTTTTTAAAAATAAAAATAAAATACAAGTTTCTCAATCTGCCAGCTTTCCACAAAACAGCAGCCGTTTTGTGATCCATGGCAGTGAAAACCCCACGTTTTACGGTGCCCCCCCCAAATGAGGCTTCAGTGCCCTAACCCACAGGGTCACGAATTCTCCAAAGGTCCAATGTCATCTGATTCACTCCAAAGCAGCACCAAACACCCAGAGAATGCCCCCTGCAACATTGGGGTGTGTGTGAAAACACTACATTTCCCATTGTTAGAGTGGCATACAAAGGATGAACAAGTTAAATCAGTGATGATAGATTGGGCAAGACATGTAGGACATAACATAATGTTTGAGGATTGGGAAAGATTGTGGAAGAAAGGGGTCAAGTTCACTGCATGTACTGTACTAAAGGAAAACATAATGAAAATAATGTATAGATGGTATCTGACCCCTGTTAAATTAGCAAATATTTATCATAAGTGTGATAACCATTGCTGGAAATGTAAAGAAAAAGAAGGTACCTTCTATCATATGTGGTGGACCTGCCCCAAGGTGAAAGACTTCTGGGAAAAGATTTATAATGAATTGAAAAAAATGTTGAAATATACATTTATAAAGAAACCAGAGGCCTTTCTTCTTGGAATAACAGGTTTGGAATTGCCCCCAAAAGATGTTAAATTATTTTTGTATGCCACAACTGCAGCAAGAATTTTGTTAGCTAAGAATTGGAAAACGCAAGAAGTACCAACAGTGGAAGAATGGCAAATGAAGATGATGGATTTTTTGGAGCTAGCCGATCTGACTGGAAGAGTCCCTGACCAGAAGGAGGAGGAGTATCAGGAAGAATGGATGAAATTTAATGACTATTTAGTTGAATATGTTAAGTTAAATTAATTGGAAAAAGCTTGCATATAGCGGATAGGCTTAGGATTTAAATATGTAATATGTGACAAATTAATATGTTTAATACTGAACTGGGAAGTAAGAAAGATGTTAAGTGATTAAGTTAATTTTATAAGAATATTGATTTGGAAAACCGTTAAAATGATATGCACTGAAATCCAACCAGGGGGATACGAGGAAGTCACTTAACAATGTTAATTAGATTAGTCTTAATAAGGTTATGATTTATGTTTGTTTGTCTATTTGTCTGTGTGTTTACATTTTTGTGAAAAAACCAATAAATTATTTTGAAAAAAAAGAGAAAATACTACATTTCCCAGCACCCCACAAAATGAGCCCTCAGCGTCTTAACCTGCTGGGTTAAGATATCGCCAAAAATCCAAGGTCATTACAAAGGGTGCTAAGCTGTGGGGGAAAGCCTCTGCAACGTTTGTCGAGAAAACACTATGTTTCGTCAAATGCTTGCAGAAGGCCCCATGTGACATTTGGCAGTGAAAAAACTACGTTTCATGGCGCCCCACAATATGAGCCCTCGACACCCTTACCTGCAGGGTAAAGATTTTGCCAAAAATATGACATTATCCGATTAACTCCAAAGCGGTGCCAAACTCCAGGAAGAGCCCCTCTAAAAATACGTTTCACAGTCCCCCCCCCAAAATGAGCCATCAGCACACTAAACAGTAGTTTCAAGATTTCGCAAAAAATCGGGGGTTGTCCGATTAACTCCAAAGCAGAGCCATATGCTGTAACAAGGCCCCATGCAACATTTGGCAATGAAAACACTATGTTTTCCTGCACCCCACAAAATCAGCCCTCGGCACCCTAACTCTCAGGATCAAGATTTTGCCAAATATCACAACTGGAGAGAGACCTGTTGCATAATGTAAAAGTGCTGTCTAAAATGTATAAGATATTATGGGAAAGGGTTTCCTGCGCCGAGCACTGGCAAAATGGCCCGTGCAATGTTTAGCAGTGAAAACCGCACGATTCACAGCGCCCCACAAAATGAGCCTTTGGCGCTCTAACCGAAAACCTGATGTCATCCGATTAACTCTAAAGCAGCGCCAAACTGCGGAAAATGGCCCCCTGCAACATTTGGCAGTGAAAATAGATATACAAAAGTCAGTGCTTTATACGGTTCAGCCATCAGGTGTAGCAATGCACAAAGATTAAAGCCACGATAGCCAGCTCTGAAAAGCTGGGGTGGTTTGTGTTTTCTGAGGCATGGCCATGAGGTTTGGAGTTAATGACTTGTAACACATCACAGGCATGTTGACACCATGAATCATGTTGACACGATTTAGCACTTCTACGCATGCGCGAGTGGCGAAACACGGAAGTAACCCTTTCCAGTACTTCCGGGTCGCCGCGGGACCCAACCTGAAAAAAGGTAACATGAAGCAAACGTAACATGAGGTATGACTGTACTGGAAGAAGCAAAGATCACCCGAGTCAAAGCAATGATTCTTCAACATCAACTTCATTGGACTGGTCATGTTGTTCAGATGCCTGATTATTGTCTTCCAAAGAAACTACTCTATTCCAAACTTTAAAATGGAAAGCGTAATGCTAGTGGTCAACAAAAGAGGTTTAAAGAATCTATCAAGGCAAATCTTTAAAAATGTAGTATAAACACCGACAACTGGGAAACACTGGCCTGCGAGTGCCCCAATTGGAGAACAGCTTTTACCAAAGGTGTCATGTGCTTTGAAGACGCTCGAACTCAGGACGAAAGGAAGACATGTGCTAAGAGGAAGGCACGCTTGGCAAACCCTCACAGTGATCAACTCCCGCCCGGAATCCAATGTCCCCACTGTGGAAGGACTCACTGTTAAGGCCAGGTTCATGGATGACAGTATTACTTGGCTCCAAATGATCACCAAAGAAGAACAGTATTTGAAAGAATGGATTCCATGTACAGTGGTACCTCAGGTTAAGAACTGAATTCATTCTGGAGGTCTGTTCTTAACCTGAAACTGTTCTTAACCTGAAGCCCCACTTTAGCAAATGGGGCCTCCCGCTGCTGCCACGCTGCCGGAGCACGATTTCTGTTCTCATCCTGAAGCAACGTTCTTAACCCGAGATATTATTTCTGAGTTAGCATGAAGGAGGTGAGGACAGGTGACCCCACCTAGGCCCGAAGTCACCCCCCCCAAAGCAGGCTCAAAGCTTCTCAAAGCTTTTCCAAATCATTTTCTCAGCAGCTAAAAGGCATTTGCTAAGCATCAGGCGCATTTTGCTCTGCTGTAACCAAGGTCGCTTCTCAGGCTAGCTGACCTTGCCAAAAGGTACATTCAACTTGCCACTTTTCTTTCTGGGAACTGTGCCAACAGAGCAAGAGAAAAGAAACATATCTTGGACATGCTGAACGCAAGGCTTCTCATCCCCCTTTCCTGGGAAGGGCGCCAAATTTCCAAATACTGGAAATCCTTATTCAATAGGAATTCTTGGGTGCATTGTTGACGAGATCACTGCAGAAGACGTGAGTAACATTTTGCTCTGTGCTACTCAAACTTTGGCTGCAAACCTGCACTCATTGTGATTTGTTTGCAGAGAGGTTAGATGATGAGGCAACAAAACGCTACCCCACATTTTCCAGTGCATTTTCTTTTAACTTTTCTTTTCACAAGAAGTCCATTTGGGGGGAAATAGGGTTGTTCTGTAGGACTAGGTACAACCTGAATATGCTGGTATGTGATTGAACACTCCCCCACCCTCCACACAAAAAAATAGTGGCAGTAGGGAAGCACCCCTTAGTCCTGCTTGTCAGACTCTGCAATTTTCACCTTCAGTTACCCGTCTTTTCAACGCATAACACATATGTTTACTTGTGCAGTGAACTGCCTGCTCCTCCCCTGCCCTGGCTCACTCATTCCATTTGCTGTTTTCATTTGTGTTCTTGAGCAACTGAACAACTTTAGAAAATGGATAAAGAGTTGGCTGCTCCACCAGTCTAGCTTTTGTAAGTCATAGAAACATAGAACTGTAGAGCTGAAAAGGACCAAGATGGTCATATAGTCCAACCCCCAGCAATGCAGGAATATTTTGCTCAGTGTGATACTGGAACTCACGACCCTGAGATTAAGGATCTTCTGCTCTACCGACCAAGCTATACCAGCTCCACTAAGCAATATAACCCCATCTCATGATCAACGCTAGGAATCCTAAGCACCTCTCCTCTGCCTTTGATGCCCTCCTAAGGCCTCTGCGTCTTCACTCTCTAGTCAAGATTTTGCCTCCTTCAGTAGCAAAATTTATTCCATCCACTCAGACCTCTCTAGCTTTGTCTGCTCCCTCTTCCTTCTCTGGTACCTCCTTTGAGCCTTTATTTCTTCTGCTCTATAGCATGGTGAGGGGTTGATAACACAGGTATCCTTTGGTGCCTTCCCTTTAATTCAGACATGCCACTGTTTCTCTTTTATGTGTGTTTTTTAATACAAACACCCCTTTGACCCAAACATCCTCTCCAACGACTGTGCAATGTCCCTTCTACTCTTTACCTGCAAACTCCTGCAGCATGTTGGCTGCTTACTTCCATTGTCTCAACTTCCTCTCCGCCAACTTCTCGTTTGCCCTACCCCAATCTGGCTTTTATTCCCTGCACTCTACTGAAATTGCCTTCCTGAAAATCAGTGGTGACCTTTACGCTGCCTCTATATGCCTCTACTCATTCCTCATCACCCACAACTTTTTCATTACCTTTAATATTCATGCCTTTGTTCCTGTTACGTTGCAGATCTCCCTGATTCTGTCCTCTGCTGGTTCACGTCCAACCTGTCTGATCACACCACGGGGGGAGCTTTGTCCTCTGCTTTCCCTCTCACCACTGGGGTTCCTTGGAACTCTGCGTTTGACCGCTACTATTGCCTGCACAATTCTGTAAAGTAGGTCAGTGCTATCCTTAAATGAGAGATCGGCAGATCTTGAAGCTTCAAGGCTATGCTTATTATGAGATAGAAGAGAAATAACTATGACAAATGTGCTTACAAATATATTGAGGGAGCTTATAGGCGATTTAATGTTGGATTTCTCAAAGAATGTCATTTGAGAAAGAAAAAGGAGAGAATGGTGCCTAGGGCATGAGAATGTACAGCCATGTTTTGCTGCATGTCTTGTTTCTACACTAAATTCCCATTTTACAGACAAGGAACTGAGGTTTGAAAGGATGGCTTTTTCAATGCCATTTTCCAGAATGACCCCAATTACCAAGGTAAAGTGGGATCAGAGGCCTGCTCTCCTAAATTCATCCCCAGACTTCAGTATATTTATGCCTGGTTCTCTCTGATCTAACTCGGAAAGTATGCGAACCTTATAACTCTTCTTAGTTACATGTTAAATTCCACAGTAAACTATCATGTATTATGTACCCTTTACATATATAAATATGAGGACATTCCTTGAAGCATCTTCCAAGGGACAAGAATTTTTTAAAAATAAATCTATTATTGGATTACGATGTAGAGGGATTTCATCCCAGGGTTGATGTCAGTGTATAGAAATGTCCTTTGCAGTGGATTCAGCTGCAAGTAGCCCTTGCAAAACCTTTGCGTAAGGGTTTCTGGAGACCACAAGGTTCTGGTGGTTGGGAGGGGAGCTCTCATTAAAAAAATCATGTGGGATGGAGTTCCAAGAGGAAAATATGATGCTAAGGAACGTCCAGAATAAAGCACATATGTGGTTACTTTTCTCTGAAGTATGTCTGCCTATCCTGCAGTTCTATAATTACTACACATTTGGTTTCTCTATCACCCTTTTCCTTCTGACTTATTCTGTATGCCTATGAATCAGTTTACAGATATAACATTCCACAGCTTCTCAACTACTTCCTGATCATGATTAAGTGTGTGCCTCTTACCCGGTATTAAAAATTATAATGAGCCTTGCACCACGAGATCAATGGCTGGAAAATCTTTCTGTATGCATGCATCTTGCATAACTGCAGTACATTCTTTTATTGTTCTGCGTGGGATCCCAGCTGAGCTATTTTCACTCCAGGAATCAATAGCCCTGTAACCTCGTATCCTATATTCTGCTGGTTAAGGTCAAGTTTGGTAAGTGTGGGCTATTGACATTAACTAGTAGAGTGTAACGTATGTTTACACTCTACAGTTCCTCTACTAGGAATGTCTGTGAGGCATCCTATTGTATCCTTGCACAAGTCCTCTTGAAATATACTAGACTGAAAGAGAGTGATTGTTCAAAGCTCTCTCACTGAGCTTCATGGCTGCAGAAGATTTGAACTCGGCTCTCCCCAGTTCATGCCCAACTCTTCGGGCACTACACTACGTAGGCTCTCCATTGAAAGTATGCAATTTCCCCATATACAAAACATGCCATTTGTAAGAGTTAGTTTGGAAAGAGGCAACACCCCACCAGTTAATCCACAAACCATCAGTTCCCCCAAATCTGTAACTCATACATGGACAATTGCATCAATGATATATTTGCACCTTGGACGCTTCCAGACGGCTGCTGCTATCGCATACTGGCCGATTCAGGTTACACAATTAAAGCGGATTCGGTGATCTCGCACAACAAACCGGCTCCCCCATCCCCAAACGGGACTTTTTGCGATAAAGACTTTGTGATAGGAGAAAGTGTGGGATAGCAATTGCTTGGCAGGATGTCATCTAACCTTCCCCAAAACAAACAAACAAAAAAGTTCAATAAAGAACCAATCTCATCTAATTTCCTTTACAAACTTTGTGCTAACATATCAGTAAGGTAAAGGTAAAGGTACCCCTGACCATTAGGTCCAGTCGTGGACAACCCTGGGGTTGCGGCGCTCATCTTGCTTTACTGGCCGTGGGAGCCGACATACAGCTTCTGGGTCATGTGGCCAGCATGACTAAGCCGCTTCTGGCGAACCAGAGCAGCGCACGGAAATGCCGTTTACACAGCTGTCAACTTACAGATTTGAAAATAATGGACCAGCAACCAAAATAAGGGATATTGCTTAGCTTATGAGTTCCATCAGCCCCTCCCCGCCCGAGAAGGAGGGAGAGAGACTCTCGCCCACGCCGCCTGTAAGCCCGGCATGAGGTGGTTGTGACGTCGCGGTGGCCGCTGCCCTTCTGCGTCCCTCCCCATCCCCTCCTCTTCCTCCTCCCTCAGGCCGCCTCCTCAGCCGCCGGCGCCACCGCTGCTGCCTCCGGCTTCCCCTGGCAGTGCGGTGGAAGTCTTGCAAGAGGGGGGCTGCCTGCCCGCCCGCCGCCACCCATCTCCTCATGACACGCCCCTGAGGGGGAAAAGGGAGAGATGGAGACGCGGCAGCTCGTGCGCGCTCTCCCTCGAGGCGGAGGACCCCGAGCTGCTGCTTCCCTCCCGAGCTGGGTGAGCATGAAACCCGGGAAATTTAAGGGACATCATCAATCTGGGACAGCAGCGGGACATGGCGCTGGGATAAGGGAGTTTCCCGCCAAATAAGGGACGGTTGACAGCTATTTGTTTACCTTCCCACCAGAGTGGTACCTATTTATCTACTTGCACATTGACTTGCTTTCGAACTGCTAGGTTGGCAGGAGCTGGGACCGAGCAACAGGAGCTCACCCCGTCGCGGGGATTCGAACTGCTGACCTTCTGACCAGCAAGTCCCAGGCTCTGTGGTTTAACCCACAGCGCCACCCGCGTCCCTTCCAATTTTAGCAGTAGTCAGAAGCAAATTCTGTGCTGTAGTTGGGCAATAGGGGCAGTGCAGGATTCCTATTGATGTACTGACCACCCCACTGCACCAAGGATCCCCTGCTCAAGCTGCTTCAGGTCGTGGTGGATGTTCTCCTGGAGATACCTAGTCTGGTGGTCCTAGCAAATACTTTCAAAAAATTAAATCTTTGTTTAGAAAATGCCTTTGGGGCTCTGAGAATACCCATGCAAAAAATGCAAATGCAAATAATTGTATAATTATTGTAGTTACATGATAGGATAGGACTCCCACAATACCCAGCATCCTTAACAAACTGTAGCTGCTGATATTCTTTGTGGAAAACCACGATTGTGAAAGTGGTATAAAACTAATACAAATGTATAGTGTGAATGAGGCCTGAAATTTGATTCTGTTCACATTTAAAGGCGAACCTACAGTACCTATTTTGCACTTTCTGAAACAATGCACAAACTGAAACACAGCCATCCTTTGAAATTTGTGTAACTCTGAATTTTGCACCAAAGCAATATGTACAAAAATGCATATGCTAGCACAAACTGTGCATTAAATGTGTATATAGCTGAACGTAATATACAAAAAATGCATTATATTAGGGATTTTTTTTTTTGCAAAAATGTGCCTAATAGGCAAAATGGCATACAATAATGTTTATAGTAGGAAAAAAATCACACTACAATGCAGATGGATTTTCATGGAGACTTAAAAAAAACAACTCAGACTGATGTGGATATGTGAACTGAACTTAAGGCTGGAAAAATGAGAGACTGAAATAAACCAGAACTGACAGGTTTGTCCATCCCTAATGTTAAAATAATGCAAATTCAAGAGGATGTATTTTAATTGCATTGGATCTGACTTTTACCCAGTCCCTATAGGAAAGCCAAATGTGCATGCCTCTGTGTACATTTGCCTCCCCCTTTTCTGCTTGTGTGTGGTGACTACGTCAGGGTGGGAAGTAACCAAATATTGCATGGAACCCATGGACAGAGTGGCTGGATTTGACCCGTGGGAGACCTGATTCCAATCTCAGCTAAGTCAGGTGCCTTCTGAGAGGCACACAACTCAAACTCTACTTCTTAACGTGTAAATTTGAAAGCAAGCTCTTGCTTTTAGCTCCCCGTTTGAATCCACCTTTGGACGACAGAACTTGGTTTCTCCAGCTAGAGTAAGAGACACAGACATGCCTTTCTTTTTCCATCCCTCTAGCCACATCCATCCTTCTGAGGAGGGAGAGAGAAAAACCTCAGAAGGGAACCACCCAAACATATCCATTGGTCCTTTCATCAGGTCCCAAAGAAATTTAAACCCCAAGAGGAGAGGAAAGGCATTCCCAGGCAAGTAAGAATAAGTCCATGGGCCTGTCTTTGCTTTTCCTTTCACTAGGTGCCAACTGCATCAGATTCGACTGCTTGCCTGAGACCAGAAGTGCATCTCCAAGGTAAGGAAGCCTTTTCTTAGGAAAGCT